GAGGATATATGCCAGTTATCATTACTGCTTCAAACCAGAAACCCGGGGGCGATAAGGCCAAGAGGATTCGATCTCAGCGGCGCCTTCGTCTGAATGAAGAAAAAAAAAAAAAGTAATGAAATGTGCTATACTAAGTGTAGAAAGCAAACCGCCTGATTCTGAAGGTGTTAGCTATATTGCATTGAACGTCGTTACGCGAGTTCTCTCTCTTTCTCTCTCTCTCTCTCTCTCTCTCTCTCTCACATTCACTCACTCATTTACTCACTCACTCACTCACTCACTCACTCACTCACTCACTCACTCACTCACTCACTCAGTCACTTACTCACTCACTCACTCACTCACTCACTTATTCACTCACTTACTCACTTAGTCACTCACGTGTTCATCATGTGGATATCTGGTGACATACAGTGGCGGTTCGAAATTAGAACATTTCCTCCGATAAGTCTATTGAATTTTTGCGGCTTTGTGTGTAATTCCAAGAGGAATCTTATCCTCGACCTTTGTTTATATCACAATAATAATAGATGCGGTTTTATAAAAACTTTTTCCAGCAAATATTAAAATGTAAAAGAAATTAAAATATTAAAAACAAAAATTAAGTATGCTATAGTTTAAAAAATATGTATTCTACTTATTGTGTTAGATGTTAAAATTATTGTGAAAATATTTGATTTTATAAGATTTTCTATGCAACTGAATTTTACATGTAAATAATTACTGCATTTCTTAATGGTCATAAATGATTAATAAATATTATTTTTATTGTTAGTGTAACGAAATAAAGCATTAATATCAGAAAATTAATCAAAAACATTTGAAACGTTCAGCTAATTGCTAGGTTGTTAGAATTGTGGTTAATGCCACTTAATTATCATAAATTTAAAAAGAATTATTTGTTTGTTATTTATTATTGTTTATATATATATATATATATATTTTTTTTTTAAATGAGATTCTAAAAGGCTACAAACATAAAGCATTATAATAATTGGAACGCAAGTTTCCGAATAATCCGAATTGTTTCTAATATCACGCACGCGTAATCTGATCGAGTCCGATTTCAAGTAAAGGTATTTAAATTCCGTCGACTGGTCCTCTTCTGCTCTCTCTACTAAATCCAATTTATACTCGTTTCTTGTGACATGCATGTGAAAAGGTAAAACCGGTTGGGGAATATTTTTTCTTCTTTGCTTGTCATCTTTTCTTTGTTTTTTTTTTTTACTTTTATTATCGTTGACTACTTTTTCATCCTTCAAGAATGACTTCGTGAACGGCTGATACTTAAATTTCAGATTATCACCGTAATCAAGATTTATCAGGCGTTGCTAAGTAGACTGATCACTACTCACCGATTCATCGATGTATCATTAATGTAATGAGCAAACATGATCCAGATATTCTGATATCCAGATGAAAATTACGACGGTTGGAGACCTTCATTAATCCTCTCGTCTTTTCAGCAAAAATGCAATGGAAATATACGGACTTGTCATGTTTGCAAAAT